AGAAGGTACTGAAGTCAAAACAGATCCTTCCACCCACATTTCGTTCAACCGAGTCGTAACAGACGCGAGGATGGATTACAACAGAACACCACGGTGTCAGTAGCATCAAATATATTTTCATATGGTAACATACTATACCCTAAATTACTCGTTGTTTGCAGAAAGGAAACACCGTAACAATACTCAAAATATTTTTACACATTGGTGGAAAAAAGGGCTGGATTTAATATACCGGCTGCCAGAAAAGCATATGTGATCGTATATATATATAAATATCTTTTTTTTTCAACGTTCGGGGAAAAAAAAAAAAAAAGACCCGAACACAGTGACATCGCAGCACCAAGCATTAGCAAAAGTGATCAAACTATTCATTCCACTCTCGCCATACTGCACTATTGCTCTTTTCATTTCCGGGTTTAAAACCCGTACAATTTAAAAGAAAAAAAAAGCGGAAGAGCGATAACGGGGAGCGCTGGCCGATAACGGTACTCTTTTTGTTTTACAGACTCGGATTGTATGGGACGCGTTTCGCCGGGCACGTAATTCGATGCACAAACGGCTGTAGTAGGCGCCCCGAAGTCCCAGCGAGATCTGGCCAAAGAAACACTTTCCAGCGCAGTGCTGGCCTTCACACACGTGCAGGAAGCCTGCGAGGGAGGGCAACCCACGTTCCCCGGCCTCTTTTTTCCTTCGAACCGTCATCCACCCACGGAGGTGACGCTGATGTGACTCGAAGGGTCGAGACCGCTCTCGAGGATGAACCGAGAAATGGCGCCTGCACTATCGTAGACACAGCTGTCTACAGCTGTCTATGACACGTGATCGGTGGCGCTGCCACATGGTGACATGATCTCCAAAAGGAATAAAACTTTGCGATTCCTCTCGGAGACTGATTGTTCTTCCGGTTTGTGATCACATAGGTTAAGAAAAGTTTTCGACGGAAAGGACGGCTGGGCAAACGGAATGCTGGGGACGAGAGGAGGAAACCTCCTCCCCCTCTCTCCAGCGCTCCATCTGCTTCCTCCTCTCCAGTTCCCGTTTTCCTTGGAAGCTTTTCTTAACCTGTAACTGACTACAGGCGCGAAGCACACGATGCAAAAGCGCTTATGCACGACATGTACGTCATGCGCCACGTGCTCCGGCAACACCTCCTAGATAAGAAAGCCTGAGTGCTTTCCTGCGTCACCAAAGAAGGCCATCGTGGGCCAGATATTGGACACGGGCGCAGCGTCAGTGCTTGGCCGGGACACCTGACGTGTCCAATAGGTGAGGGCCCGAGTCCCAGCCAAACGCTGACGACGTACTCGTGCCCAATCTGTGGCCTACGGTGGCCTTCATTAGTGACGCAGGAAAGCACTTAGGCTTCCTTATCTAGAAGGTGTTGGCTGGAGCAATACCACCTACAAGACAAGGCCTGGGTCCTCGTCATCGTTAGTGATTTCCCGCACCGCCCCACACGGCAAACAGGCTGAAGCTTGACGATGGTCGCCGCCGCAATTTTTGCGACTGTCGTGGCGTCGCCGCATGCCAGCGTCTCACGAGCGGCGACGCCACGGCGGACTCGTCTGCCGCATTGCGCCGACTCTCGTCAGCCTGTTTGCCACTTCGGGCGGGTAGGGGATCCACTAACGATGACGTCACGCGCAGGCCTTGGCTTCTAGTTGGTTTTGGCTGGGGCAACACATCCTAGGTAACGAGGCCGTGGCGCCGCATTTTCTGCGCCACGGAGGCCATCGCGGGACGTGGATTGAACACTAGTCCCAGCCGCACGCCAACGCAGCACGGTCTGTACCGTCTGTGCCCCATGCTGGACCCCCAGTGGGCGACGTGGGAAATTCAGCACCATGACCTCGTTATATCTAGGTGATGTTGACTGGAGACACAGGTGTTCTTGGGAACTTTTCAACAGCGATGAATTCAACCTAGAAAACCGAGCCGGTGATTCTTTATCTTCGAAGAACATACAAGCGGGACAAGCATACATATGTGTGTCCCTCAGTCTCCCTTTGTGGGAAACAAAGAATGCAGGAAGGCTCCAAATCAACTGCGCAAATCCTCATTCGTGGCATATCAGTGCGAAGCGCAAGTTCGTCTGCTTCTTTTACAGGGCCTCTGAAGACGTCAGAACGCCGAGCTTTGGTTGGTTCTGAATGAAGGAAGGGGTAGACCTCGAGGCAGCTTGCTTCGATGTCTACCCACTATCCTTCAATCAGAGCCAATCAGAGCTCAGCGTCCTCCTGACGTCACCGCAACTCCTGCAAATAAAAAAGCAGACGACTTGCTCTTGCTCTGGTCTCGAAAGTCACGTTCTGATTATTAGAAGATTGAAATCACTGCATAATGGCGGAACAGCTGACATCGTAGTACGTGCAAGTCATTCCATAAGATAGCGACCGTCGGAGCGCGGCAAACGCTAGGAGCCTAACAAACCAATCAAACAGCGTCAAAAGTGCAACGTCACGGCGCTCATCCTCTTTTTTTTGTGGGTGTTTACTTTCCAATTCAACCAAACTCATAAAGTGTGCCGTGACGTTGCTGTTGTAGTCCGCTATTGTGCGGGAATTTCTCAGCGGCCAACAGAGGGCAGTCTTTCCAAATGGGTCCATTGAATGTCTTAACGTCGGTGCAAACAAGGCAGGCCCTTAGCGGGCCGTGCGTAAGTTATGCAGTACAACTTTTTTTCTTTTTTTTTTTTTTTTTTGCAGCGTATGAGACGATATGTTTTCAGTTAAGAAAAACGTCCAAGGTTTTAAATTATCAAAGTTCGCAACTTTTATGGTTGTGTCGATAGTCAGCCGATCTCAACCTGGAACTGCCAAAATTCTGCCTCCCCCCCCCCCCCCCCCTCCCCCGAACCTCGGGTGTTTCGGCCCATCAACAAATGTAAGTTAAAACTTGCGCAAAAAAAAAAGCTGTAAAAACTCTTAAAGAAAAAAAAAAAAAGAAACGAGGAAAAATATGCACGTGCTACCCGCACAACGCGATGTGCGTATGCAGGCAAAACGTCGTTGGTTTGTCCGTTGTACAAATCTCCACCAACGGAAGAAAGGGACTTGCGTGTCGGCACACCCCGCGGCGTACTGGCGCACTCCTTCACAACTGCTCGCCAAGCTTCGTGCGTGTCCGCGGCAACAATCGAGGCTAGGGAGGCCATCCATCAAAGGATTCTCCGCGCAGCGTCGATGTTGCGGTGTCATCTGTCTCCGCGATGCGAAGAGTCGCGAGCGAGCCGACAAACTCGTACTCAAGGCATCACTCTCCCGACTGCCCTCCCTCCTCCATCGCCGCGCAACGAAATAAAAAGGTCGTCGGCCCCACCGGGTTTATTTTCAAAGTCAAGTTCCGTCGTCGTCCGCTCGACACAAACTATATTTTTTTTTGTGGCGACGGGAACAAGCGGCGATAGTACTCGAACATGCAGCAGACGGCCGAGGTGGAGCTGACGGATTGCGGTTTTTCACGATGCAGCGTGCCCTACATGTGTGTGCGTTGACGGGGCAAACAATGGGGTCAAACGCAAGTCAAACATCGCTGTCAGGAGTTTGAGGAGCCATGGCAAATTGGATCTTCGATCCCACCCGCAACACTGACAGTTTCTTTGTGAGCGCTGAGAGTGGAGTCTTTCACGCTTTGAACGGCATGGTCTGAGCTCGAAGCAAGAAACACGTTTTGTTTGAGTGTTCGACGGACTCATGTAGTAGACGTGTCTCGCTTATCTGGACCGTATCGGGGTATTTTTTACGCGTTTTGACGGGTAAAATCAACGCGATTGCTGCTGTTTTGCAGATGTTTTGTCCCTTTTTCGTATTTTTTTTTCGCTTTCTTTTGAATTTTGTAAATTACCAGTATACGCTCCAATGTGGCGAGTGTAATAGAGGAGCAAGAGCGGATTTGCATCCCGCTAGGAAAAAGCGGTTGACATTATAGACCATTTCATAAAAGTTCTTCTGGCAGTTGCTATCTTTAGGGTTCGTGAGTATGCTTTGGACGCTTCCTGATGCAAGATCACCGCTCGCGCGTGCTGGCCTGTGGAGATCGCACGCAGGGCCGTAGATTTGTAAACATTGGAATGGTGTAACAGACCTGAATTTCAACCCCCCTTCATTTAGTTGGTTTCCATATTTGTTAGTTGTTTGTCTCGGGGACCTTAGACCTCAACATCTGTCGCATATTTCCGTCTCTTATGCGCGTCAACGACAATCTCGGTCTGGTTTTCCTGGGTTTCAGAGAAATCCCCTGAACGACGCACTTTCATACGTTGAGAAGCTCGCCCAGAAATTGAAAAATGAATGACTACAAATAAAAAAAAAATACTGTGAAATTACAAAGAGTAGTAAATATAAAGATGCGAAACAACGATTTAGTGGTTCATTATATTAAGAATAAACTAATTCGCCGACTTGTCACTACTAACTCCTTAAAAAAATTAATGCCGACAAAAAAAAACGCGAAAATAAACTTGTTTTCATCTCAATAATAATAAAAAAAATAAAACTGAGACTGAAAAACACGTAGACGGCAACAAACACACCATTTATGCGTTTGTCCCCTTTTATGTATTCCCCAGTCTCGAGTTTTCGTAATTATGAATAGTCACCAGCTATCTTTTGTATTAAATATAATTGCAATATTTATTTGTGTATTTTAATTTACGTATTTGATATTCACAATGACGGGATCAAATTGATCATGCCCTATACTGCACCGTCACCATTACCGCTAACTAAGACCAGTCCTTGCGCGACTAAAGGAATACATATAGACACAACATACACACACGGGCAAACGAAGGCAAATAACCGGTTTGAGTTGAGCTAGTTGGTACGTACGTGTCTATGAGGAGACAGCTTGAACACTTACGCACAGACAGGACAGGACATACACAGAGCTGTAGATAGCCAGCTCTGTGTATGTCCTGTCCCGTCTACAAGTATGTAAGTGTTTAGAGTCCAAGCTGTTTCCTCATAAAAACGAAGGCAGCTTGCGTGATTCCGCCTCACCTGTACCGCGGCCTGGGAATCCACAGATCCGTGCTTCCACGCGCTGTAAACGGCGTTCTTGCTCTTCGACGGCGCGGGCGTACGTTCCAAGTTGCGTTCGGGACAGCGCTCGAACAAGAGCACGCGCTCGGCCACGGACCCCTTGGTGAGGAAGGGACGCACGGGCACGTGCGCGTGAGTCCTTTCCGTGGGCGAAAGGGACCGTTCCCTGATGTGCTGCTTCTGCGAAGACGTGAGCTTGGGGTGCGGGATGGCGGGCGCGCCGCCTTCCATGTACAGACCGTCCGGAGAGTGAAGTCTCCGGGGAGACGTGGACAAGGGAGAGTCCATCTCGTGGCACGGCTCGCTCGGGATAGCGCACGGGACCGACGGCCCGCCGCCGGTCCATAGCTGTTCCGGGGAAGTCAACGACTCCCAGCGAGACTTGGCATCATTCACGACGTGGCCGTTCTTTGGCCTCTGTTTCAGGAGTTCCTCGAAGCGGTGGGGCTCCGCGTTACCCTGGAATCGCGCTTTCGCGTAGTCCACCGCGGAAGACGTGGATTGCTTGACTGTGCTGGGCTTGGGGTCGAGAGCTTCACTGAGTGCTGAAGTAGTAGGCTTTGTATCGCCGTTAGAGGATTGACTAGACGCATTGCCGGTGGCTTCTTTGGGAACACTGGTGCAGCTGGATGGACGTGCGGCCTCTTTCTGGCTCTTAACGCTGGGGGGCTCTTGAGCCTTAACACTGTCTGTTGTAATTGTTGTGATCAACGCGGGAACCGCGTGAGCGGTTGTCACTGTAGGAACGTAGGTCGCACTGAAACTCTGAGTCGTCGTAGTTGGTTTGGGGGCTCCTGTGACTAGAGATATCACGCTTGGTGGTGAAACCTTGAAGACTGTTCTTTGAGGACTTGATCTAGTAGAGGTGGGAGAAGGGCTCCTCTGGGACTTGTCAGCGTTGACGGATTCGAGGACAGGACTGCGAGCTTTTTCATCCGGAGCCGGTTTCAGGTCCTTCGTCACAGGTTTGGCAGTATGTGGCTTAGATGTCTCGCCTCTCGAAGCACCGTAGCCAGAGCTGGATTTTGGACTTTTTACGTCTGGTGCAGATTGTCTCGATAGCCTAGTCAAAGTTGTCGCTTTGTCTTCGCTTACCTTAGAAGAGCGAGCGGGTGCTACTTCTTTCTTCGCTTTTCCCAACGTGGAAGAAAGCAACGAATCTGATGCATTCTTTTTTGGTGAATTCGTTTCACCAGACTTCAGACCGTTATCCTTCTTAGCCTTCGCTTCTTTGTCGCTTGTTGCGAGCCACTTCTTTTTAACTTCGAGCTTCGTGTCCACGTCAGCCTTGTTCTTCGCTGAAAACGAGGACGATGCTTTTGAAGACGTGTCGACGCCGGAAGACTGCGCCAGGACAGACCTCTTCCCGCTGGATGACGCTTGCGCCGAAGGGACAGCCGTGGTCTTGGATTTCCTCGCCGCCAGCCTGACCTTATCCTGGGCGACGAACGAGTTGACCAGAGCTTCCAATTTTCCCTCCAGGTCGGCGGCGAGGAGCTCTACGGGGTCCAGCGCCTCGAGGTCCAGACCGGCGGCCGGAGAGGCCGACTGGGCCCTCGGCGGCTGTGGAGCCGTCTTGGTCGGTGACGTCGGCGCCACTGAGAACGACGGGAGCTTGAGGAGAGGAGAACACAGACCGTAGTGGACGGCCCTGCAGTCGGCTGCCGACAGGAGCTGGGGGTCCGGACAACAGGGCTGATGTTCCACAGCGTGCACCGAACGGCTTCGCGAGAGGTCAATCAGCGAACTGTGGTAGACGGTCGCTTTGGTCACCACGTATTTGCAGCACGCATAGTTCAACATAATCCTTCGTAGGTCCCTTTCCTAGAGCATGACCTGGCTGCTATCCGAGCATGCGAGGAGCGGTAGGCGTTCCGTCCGGTACGAACGCGCTTGCGACGCACCAGTTCATGTCCCGCGTCCGATCTCTGCGAGTCGGAACAGCGTGGTCCGTACGGCTCCGACAGACGACGCGAGCTGTCCTTGCGGCGCGTTGGCATCTACGACACTTTTCGGAAGGCACAAGCAACAACACTCGAGAGGCAGAAGTGGGGGTGTTGCGGCCACGCGCACCACTTTAAAAAAGAGCAGGAAACACGACGAGGGTCGACTCGCTCGCCCTCTCGAGAGAGCACTGGCGAAGAAGCGGAGGGGCAGCGACGGCGCACGTTCTCACGAAACACGCAGAGTGCGCGGGCGTACCAGTCCGTGCGGAACCACGGAAACGTTGGCACCGAAATTCGCGACAAAGTGCCGGTACAAAAGCAGGAAAACCCGCCTTTCTCTTAGCGGTCCTGTGACGCCACCAAAATCACTCGAACTGTACCTCGGCCGCCGAACCGGATGATTCACTCGTACGCCAGGGCACCCACGGCGCACGTCCAGAGGCATTCAGGGCTCGCACCTGCTCACCCTGCACAGTCACTTCGGCGTCGGTGGGGTCACGAATCCGGGGTGAATCCCGTGCGCGCGAGCCAGAGGTCCAGGCCACGGAGTCGCATCACGATGCTCCCATCCGTCGGAGCGCGTGGCGAAAGTTCTTGATGTCGAAGGAGCGCGCTTGGGCGCGACGATGACGGGCTGCGGTTTGGGAGAAGGAAGAAGCTGGCGAAATCGTCTTTCTTCTTCCCGGCTGCTCCCGCTTCCTAAAAAAAGCCCCGGGAGCTCTGGGGTCCCCAGGCGGCAACCGAGGCAGCAGCGAGAGTTCGCCCAGACTCCGCCGGCCGCAGGCAGACCGTGGCGGCAGGACCGGCGCTGTGCTATAAGTGTCGCCGAGTCCTTATAAGGGGCCGGGTGGGCGAGCTGCCGCCGAGGCTGCCGTGCCGCTCGCGAGTCGGCCGTCGGAGTCCCGCTGGAGACGTGGTCGCCGCAGCGGCAGCGGGAACGCTGCACCGCGCACCGGAACAAGGAACGCTCGCCCGCACCGCATGCCGGCAGCACGCAAAGGCACGTTTGCCGCCGAGCACTGCCTCGTGCTGCGCGGTGAAGCTGGCTTGCAGGGAGAGGAAAGGAAAGAAGAACAAAAAGCAGCGTGGCACCTCGCGCTACTGCTCTGCCCCCAACTTGCACAGTTTGTTAGTGGACGTGAGGGGGCGGGGTCGTATATTAAATTGCAGCTAAGGAGATGCGGTCGTTGAGGCGCGTACAGCTCGGAGCTCCGTTACGCTCTGGTGGGAGCACATACCGTTTTGTAGGGATGCGCGAGTGCGGCGAGCACCTGTCTCTGTGCGGGTGTGTGTGTGTGTGTGCGTGTGTGCACGTTGGTGGGACGTTTCCTGCTTTTTTATTTATTTTGTGTGTGTGTGGGGGGGGGTTAGCGGTTCGGCGGTTTGGTTCGGACTGATATCCTCCGCGTCTGGCCAGGATGCGGTCGTCGACAGCGACGGGTTTAGAAGGGGAGCGACAACTGGCCGGCCAAAGGGAGGGCTTCTATTTTGATGGCGGTGGCTGTCAGTTTGATGCTTGCTGCCGGCTGGCGACTCGTATCAAAGTTGAGCACTGACTGCGGGCCCCCATTGATTCGAATGAGCTTTTCTTCTCTTTCGCCGCGTTCGTCTGAGCACGTGGGTGTGTGGCATCGACAGTTATTTATACATCCCCCCCAAGACATCCTCCGGGTAGAGTTTGATGCCCCCCTAGAATTTCTACGAAATGCCGAGAATCGGACATTTTATTGATAATTTTCTTATACATCTCCATCACCCTAACCTTTTCGTCTCTGAAAAGAGAAAACACGCTTGTGACATTTTACGTGATTGCTTACAGCAACTGGAATAAGCTTACAGCTAAAACAATGTATCTTGATTGCGATAAATCGTCTCATACGAGGCATGTCTATTAAATAATAGAACTGATGACAAAAGTAGTTTATTATTATAATATTACAAATAAACTATCTCTTTCAACATGCTCGCCTGCCCTATACAAACTTTCCATTGCTGAAACAGTGCTGGAGGTCATCATGCGTCAAACCTTGACTGGAAAATGGAGCTGAATTCTACTAAAACTACTTTTACGAATTACTACACAATTTTAAGAAAATTTGTGCACCGACACGCTTACAACTCAGTGGTCAGGCCCTAACTGAGCATGCAAATACTCTTTGCGATTTCTTTACTCCGAAAGACGCATGGAGATTGGAAATGGTTCCAGCGGAAAGCTTTCACTTATGCAAAATATGGGAGGCTGCAGATTCACCTTCCCAGCTAATTCAGACCAATATACACAACAAACTGCTCGAGCAATATATATATATATATATATATATATATATATATATATATATATATATATATATATATATATATATATCAGTGTGTCGAACCGAAAAAAATACGGGTTCGGTTACGGTTCAGGTTCAGGTAAATTTATTTTGTTCCGGTTCAGTTCCGGTTCGATTAATTCGATCCGCGAACCGGTTCGCGGCGCTGAACCGGTTCGCGAACCGGTTCAGAAATTATAAATGACAAATTCCAACATCAAAATAAATTACAAATAAAACATTTGAAATCAGCACATACGAAACGAGATACATCGTAGTGTAAGGCTCAGGGATTTCTACCAGGAATGGTTTCTTTATGTGCACTCAAAGGTTACCTCACCGACGTTTACGCATTCGGACTTCATCTAATTGGGTCCGACGCAGTAGCTGTAAAATCCGCGACCTCCTTACAAACCCACTTACAAGTAGAACTCGCTAACTATCCCGCCACCTCGGCGTGTAAGCAATTGAAGGAACAGTGGGGAGAAAATACAGCTTTCTTTATTTGAACTAGCTATGGGTAACTCAAATTAGACCCTTAAAGAAGTTTTCATTAAACAAGATACGGAATATGAAAAACACTTCACCGAACGCAACGCCAGAAGGACGTAATAGGATAAATATTAAAATAGAAGAGTTCGCTGTCTCACAAATATGTTAGCTTCTAAGTGCCTATACGAAACCGGATGCATCGTGGTGCTGGCTTTCGTCAGCGGCCGCCACTCGCACAAAACTAACTACACCGCACACTATATTACCTGGACGTCTAAAGGGATGCGGGAGAAGGTAACCGTTTGTCAAGATTCATGGATGCAGCGTTTATATTCCTAAGACTGAGTGGAGAGGAAAAATATGTAAGCGAGGTGTGTGTCAGTTGACGGCACTTAAAAAACAAATGGCATTGATAGCATATTTATTGTCAACAGCGCGTGGCCGAACCGTTTTGACATGAGCCGGTAACCGTTATTTTTTTTTTTTCCGGTTCAGTTCCGGTTCGGGTTCATCGCGATAACAATATAACGGTTCAGGTTCGGGTTCAGTTCCGGAAAAAATACCGGTTCGGTTCCGGTTTTCGGTTCGGTTCGGTTCCGGTTCGACACCCTGATATATATATTTATTTATTTATTTATTTATTTATTTGCAACCGGGCTAGTTGCACTCAGACCCTTCAGATTACCTTTCTACGCGAGCCTTTGCTCGTTCTGACGTTATCTAAGTTTAGCTTATTTCGTAGCACCACTATAATGACTGTATCTCCTTACCAAGCTTTGCCCAAGACCTTCAACGTCTTGATGACTAGCGGAGTCTCATTATTTAAGGTTTGCGCACGCTCTCACTTTTCCTAGCTGAAGACTGCGATAAGTGTACACCTACACTCACTTCATCCGTTCACACCCTTCTGTGTTCGTGTCTCTGGTGTAGTTCCATGCTGATTGATGGTTAATTATGTTCCTTATTAAAATGCCAGTGTATTGTATTGTCATGCCTATTCGTCTGCTATTATTTATGTTCTCGCCTATTTTTCTGCCCCACTCCTACTTAGGAGTTAAATGGCTAGTAATATTGTTTCAGTAGGAAGTAATAACTGTCGTCCAGAGGCATTCACTTTGATTTATAAAACGATTACAGTCAGTACCTTCTCTGAAAATTATATTTAACGTGACGATCAATACATGAATGGACAATTAAAAAGAAACCTTTTGAAAAAATCTTTCATATCTGGAAAGGTATTTGAAATCAATCATTGTAAAAAAAAAAAAAAGACAAAAAAAAAGACCCCGATATGCAAACTACCTATGTCTTCTGACTATGTGGATTGACCCGCAGCCGTGATGCATTTGCACGATAGGAAACAACTACTGTATTTCTTAACCATTTCGACGCAATCATAACTTATGACAGGAACGTCTATTGCGACAGATACAGATGCCGATAGTAATAAAAAAAAATTAAAAACATTTTTTTTTGTAAAAATGCGTTTTTTTTACCATAAAAAGCCGAACAAAACGAGAAAAACAAAACTTAGGCCCAATTTATTTCAATTATTAACAGACCTATAAGGTAAATTTCTGCAACATACGTTAAAATTTACAATAATCACTACGTCAAAACAAAATGTAATCATATCGCACGTCACTTCTTCGACAGTGCAGGCGGACAACTAAACACACGATACCATATTGAATGAGTCAGTCCATAAAAATAAATAAATCAATAAACGGTGCAGTGACGTAGCAGGGGAAAAAATGGAAAGAAACGCGAACGCCTGTGGTCGTCTCCTGACTGTATCTGCCGTCAAACTGTTTGCCTTGTCCTAAAAGCATACATCAAACGAGCATTTTTCTGCTCTTCAGTATGAATTGTGGAGCGGCACGGCTATAAATGTTAGAAGCATATCAAAATAAAGTTTCGAAAACTTTAAAAGAGAGGAGTGATAATTTAGAGCTGCCTGAGATTTGTTCATGTGAATGTGCATGTATGTGAAGAAGCGATTTCTTTTATGTCATCTATCAAATATTTCCCGCCCGTCAACGAGGGACGTGGGACTTGTATAACACGACACCGAGCCTCTGCTACAGCACCAAAATATGTACACACTTTTGTGTTCTGAAAGTTAACAGTTACAGTAAACTTAGTGATGGAAGCGGCAGTCGACCTTTTGTAGCGCGTTCTGTTGCAGGCAAAACATTAGTTTGGAGCAGTAACTGATCCTTTTGGAGCAGACGCCAACATCTGTTAGCACATCACTCGAAGAAAAGAAAAAAAAAAGTGATTGCATCGTCAAATTACCCCATCTTTGATAATGAGTGAGGGTTCCTCTTTGATACTGGAGCATATTATTCATTACCTTTTGTAATGAGAATAAATAAGGCGCAGAAAAAACACAGAGCGTTCTTTTTTTTTAGAAATCAGGCTCTAGTCAGAGCCTTGTTTTTGTTTACAAAGGATAGTAAAATATATCTATGAAACATTTACCATAGTGCAACACTTAAGTTGGGATCGAGCTTCCTTCCTCGCACTTTTACAGCCGGTAATTTATTTAGCCTGTATACATAAGTTCCATAAAATGCCAGCAAAAATCAGCTCGTCTATGAACAAAAATGCGTGCCCATAGTTTCATGAACCTACCGAACTCGAGACTTTAATATTATAAACTGCCAAAACAACCACCCCGCAATATTATGAAAACCTACACTTCTGCAAGTGAAACTGATCTTTAGCGGCATTGGAACCAGAGTGAAGTCAAAGTTCGCTGTTCTTTCGACAGCTGCACGGGGACACCCATGACTACCATTTATTTAAATATAAACCCGCAAATTTTTTTTACAGCGGAGCTGTTAAGGGCTGGTTTCCCGAGGATCGTGTCCGTCCTCAGATGACCTGAT